TTAAAGTGTTTTCAAAGCTACTTTGATAAAAGACAGCAATATGTTAATCTTGGCAATGTCGAATCACAACCTCAAAAAGTAATATATGGAATTCCTCAGGGAATTGGTCTAGGCCCACTCTTGTTTTTGATATACATAAACGACCTTCCTAATCGGACAAATTAAAATTAAAAATCTTTGCTKATSACACTTATTGCCTCGGCAAAAGACTTAAGACACTCGAAAGTACAATGAATACCGAATTGGCTAAAGTGTAAGAGTAGTGCAACACCAACAAACTATCCATTATTATTTATCCCGATAAAACACGCACTCTCGTTCTATAAACAACACACAAACCTTATTATAATTTATTAATCGTTTATTAATATATCGTTATATAGTACGTTATTCATACTTCTAATTCTTATTATTTTTGATACATATGTAATTAAAAAATAGTTTGTTTTTTTTTTTCATTCTTACACCTCAAAATAATATTTTTACAATAAGCTTTTTTAGCTAACTAGAAAACTTTCAGTTAAAAAAAAACCCTGATCTCTATTACCTGATCTCTTGATTACTTAAGAAAAATAATAGAAATTATCGTTGTAAATAAATCTTGAAACTGAGCAATAAATATATTGTATTGTATTGTATTTTATATAATATTTTTGTATGTTATGTGATCTTGGATTGATCAAGAAACATGTGTTTGTAAAGTACACATGCACGGATGACTCCATTCAATCTTAGGCATGCTCTGAATTTTTAGAACCCGTGTGCACGTACTGTTGTCTTCATTCAACCATTTCAATGACATTACACATGCTCGGTATATATAAGACCACAAGTTTAGTAGTCTAGAGACTATTACGTTCTACCCTCTCAAAATAAAAGACTTTATTTATTTTATTTATTTGGATAAAAGCTAGAGGAAAAATATTATATAGAAGTAATAGATTCCATTTTTCTGTGTATCTGTACTCTCCAATAGATACATAGAAGACATCAAAATGTGAACAACAGTAACGCCACTCAACTCTGTCTTTTGTGCTTTCGATACATTTTGATGCCATCTGTCAGAATGCCCCCTCCCGCTTCGGAATTACATTCCCTAGTAGAACTTGCATTCACAACTGTAAAACTTAATCACTCCTAATAGTTTTTATTTAGTGCCAACTAACCATTATCATTGATTATTGACAATGAATATAACAGAATTAAGTAAATATTGAAGTAGCTTATTTTCAAATATTTTAAAAGCTTAAGTTATTCAGCACGTTTAAATTATGTCTCCGCCATACAGCGTGCACTGCATAAAAAAGGCTGTATAAGGACCCTTAAACTATACTTAAACCTCCCTTATATTACTAGTTTTCTGATTGTATAAGGATGTATCATGGATGTATAAGATCTTCTTATACAATCATGATATGCCGCTTTGCGTATAAGGATCCTTATACGTGGTATAAGGAAGCATTATACAATMTTATAC